TTGGCGGCGGCGCGAGCGCTGTTCCCGTTCGGCTTCCAGCTGTTTCAGGACCGTTAAGTCACGGGCAGAGGCACGGGGCGGGGGGAGTTACCGCACGTTCCTCCTTACTCGGTGACAGTCTGGGGCAGGAGTACGGGCTCTCCGCCTTCGTGTGCCTGTGTGTGTGTACGAGCGAGGTGCGATAAGTAGGCCCCGATTTTGAGTTCATAAAAGGTGAAAGGTGTCGTTAAGTACGTTGGTTGAAGCCGGCACCAAATGATTATTTTTTTAAAATTGTATAAAACTTATTTCAGCGAGTTGGCCCTCAACGTTCCATGAGTTCTCCAGCCGACATTCCAGGATAACACTTAAATCCTGAACAACAGAAGTCAGCCTGACAGCGTTGTGCAAACAGACGTGACCTGTGTAACTAGGTCACCAGTAGCATTGTATAGCTAAAAATCTTCTGAATCCAGTTAGAACTGTTAAGTAAATTTTGTTTCTAATCTATTCCCCTTGAATAGCGTGGCGTACATGTTCTCGCTCAACACAAACCATTAGCTTAAAAGGGTTTGGAATTGCAACAACTGCAAGCTGGAGGCGAACCCTTTTTAAGTGGTTTTATTACAGCCTATTTGCTTCACCCACAAAAGGGGAGGTGGCTGCCATAAACCCCGCGCGGGGTAAGTAGGTGTCATGCTGCTCTGGAGCATGTGACAGTAGGGTTCCTGGGACTCTGTCCTGGCCTCTTTCGGATCTAGCAGTTCAGCACTTACAGCAAGCGACCTCACCTCCTGTATTTCATTCCGAGCTTACAGTTGGGAATCAAACTAAACAAATACAGGTTCTGAAGAGGAAATAAATTCCTTCCAAAAAGTAAATACCTAGACAAGATGGAGAGAGCAATTGCTCAATTATCTCTCGGGTATTCTGAGCAATGTTTGTTCTTGAGGTTGTTGTGGTGCAATGATGCTGCTTGTTTAGTGCAGTGACATGTGAGACCAGTCCATCGAGAAGCTCTGGCAGTAGCAGACTGTGCAACTCAGTCTTGTCTCCTCACTGTACCATCGTAAGCATGGAGCAGAATGGCTTGTCTAAAAGTTTATTTCAGTTCCTTTAATTTAATGAATTGGCACTGAATTTTCCATATTCATAGAAAACGCCTGACACCTCAGGTCGAGACCCTCATTTGAGCATTGTATTCTTATGTTTGGCCTTCATAAAGTGCAAATCAATGTGATTTTAAACGCTGGTGTGATACATACCATGTAAGTATTTTAGATATTTGGAACTTGGAATACTTTCACAGCTTAAGATGGATTTACATATGTATATATGCATATACATGTATTTATGTAATATCTTTGTATGTTTTTCTGTTTTCTTGGAAAAAAAGAAGGACAGCATGTCTTTTGCTCCCGTGATCTGATGTTTCTGTTACCCAAAGAATACTCTTCTGTTACTGTTCAGAGTTACGGGGAACAGGGTGTGACACTGGTAGTATTGGTCTCTTTTACTTGTCTGTGGGTATATTTACTGTGTCAGATCGAGACAAAAATTTCCTTCAGACGCAAATGTTGTGATCATCACAGTTTAATATGCATTGGCTCACAATTTGAGACAGTCTTGAAGAGTACAGAAGAAACTAAACCAGAAAATGCTCCCTGGGAGCAGACCTGCTGCAGTCCAGCTGGTGATAAACCAAAAAATGGTACCAAATTACAGCTGGTCTGACATAAAAGCTGCTGAAGCATGTGCAAAGTAGATCTTAGGTTCTTAGACCAAGTGCTTTACACTACAGGTCTGTTTATGTTGAACTTGCCAGTACAAGTACAGCTTTTCAGTAATGCATGTGCATGTAAGAGGAGTAGTAGCTATATAAGGTCAGCACAGTAAATTCTTGACTGGCATTCCACTTTAAAGAAAAAGTTCTAGAAAAGACAAGTTCACAAGTATTGTAACTGATGAAAATGTCATGGTTTGTGGTTGGGGTTTTTTGTTTGTTTGTCTTCTGTTTTCCAAAAAGTGCTGAAAAGCACGGGGTATTTTTTCTTCTCAAGATTCCATGAACTTCTGGATGAACTTCACCAGATTCCCTGAGATGTGGGCTTATTTTCATTCCTTGGTTCAGATTCATAAAGTGATGTAGAAGAGAATAATAACTTTTTAAATTTAAAGATCATTTGATTTGTAGCAAACGTGGTTTCTTGTGATCTTCTGTTTGCAGGGCTTTAATCCCACAGCTCCCAGGAACATAGCTGGGCAGGGCATTCTTTAAGGGGATGCTCTCAACTCCTTATGCTGGTAACATGGAGAAGTCACTGAAGTGGCAAGTGAAAAAGAGAGTTCCCTTGTTCAGTGTCTTATATATAACACTTTTTATATAGATACACACACATTTATTTATATATATAGTGAGAATATGACTAGAGAAAATCAACCAGAAAATAGCACGTCTTGATATTTCTATCTCGATTAAAAAATTGTGTAGCAAAGTTTGAGACAGAAAATGGATTCACTTGTTGAGGTACAGGTGGGAAAAGGAATTCAGATCTTGGTCTAGCTCTAGGAGAATGTCTTGTCTCTGAGACAGAAGTGACTTGCTTCTTTCAAATTATGTGAGGCTGAAGCAGGTCAGCTGTCTGACAGGACTGTGCTGCAGCTGAAGCTTCTGGATAGTCCAAACCCTGTTCCTGACCAACAAAGTCAATCAACAGGGGTTTATGATATTGGTATTTCTGCTCCCTCAGACATTGCTGTGTCCAGCACTCTTGAAGAGTTTGAAATTGTTCTTGTTGGTCATGATCCTTGAGCTTTCTGACTTACAGTGTGGAGGTTTCCCTACGGAGCTGAAAGGATGTTTTGTTTTTCCTTCAATGAAAGAATTGTTTCAAGAGCATTTTTCAGTCTTTCTTGTTGATGCTGGTTAATTTAATATTTCTTTAGTCACGTTCTCATAAGATTTATGTAGAGCAAGAGGATGAAAGCATCACTTCAGCCTGGCAATTAGGAAGCTCATTTGGTTTTTGCTCCAGTAGCTGGTGATTATATATATCATGTGAATCAGGTTGAGGGTTTCCCGTTTCCCAGCCTCCTGCAATCTCATGGCTGGTTGACGTAGTCTTGGGCAAAGTGGGTGGTGACTCAAATCCTGTCAATCCAAAAAGATGGCATCTGGTTTGCAACTTCTACGAGCTCTTCTTTGGGTATGTTGTTAAAATCAGACAATGGTGCCTTTTTGGCAGTCGGATACTGCTGTATTCATTCTCTGTTGCCTTTTTTTTAGAAATGTACACATATGCACATTAAAGATTAATTTGGGTCTGAAATGGTTTTCATAAAGAAAAAATATCCAATCTTTTATTTACTTTTTTCCCCTGATCTTGTTTTTTCATTTTTATTTGCTGGAATAGAAAACCAGCTGCTATTGTGACACTGCTTTTGATCTGTGTGATTGTAAAACTTAATTGCTCCAATGCAAGCTATAGAAAACGTGACAACTTAACATTGTTCCAAGTGTCTGCAGCATCGTATGCAACAGAGTTGTTTTGAAAAACTATTTTGCTTTGAAAACAGGTCCATTATACTTCAGTGAATATGTAGTATATGCAAATGTATTTTTCACCTAAGTTGTTTACAGTGTAGTCTTTTGATTCAAGGTGTGTATATTGGTACGTACATGTTCGGCTTATGTAGTCTGCTCCAGATATCAGAACCAATATGTATACATATATATATGTGTAATATATACACGTGTGTGTGTGTGTATATATATATATATACCAAACCAATTCTGAGAAAAGCTTTTGTGCTGTTTATATTAAACAGTCGCTAAAACTACACCAGCTTCTTATATGCCTAAAAACTGATGACTTTCTAAATAAAACAGCATTTAAATGATAAGAGACAAAAAGATTTTTCTCTTTTGTAATCTTACTTTACCTTTCTGTCATTTTAATAGCTATGGAAGTTGCAGAACTCCTGTAAAGCTGTCTGTCGAATTGGAGACATACCATTTAAAAGTAGCATCTTCTGTGGAGCCAAATTCCTTGTAGAAACATTTAACTGTCAGTTCTGCTATGTACCATCTCAATGCTGATAATTCTTCCAAAGCAGCATCTTTGCGTTGCTTTCACCTAAAAATTACAATGGTATTTTCTGTCGTTCCCTGCAGGTACTGTTCTTCAAAAGAAGAACATGGCTTATCTAGTGAATGAACCCTAAACTCCCAGACCAAAAACTGAGGTTTTTTTTCATGAAGGATGGCAACGCCATATGTTCCTGTTCCTATTCCTATTGGAAGTTCATCATCCAGCTTTACAAACAGAAACCAAAGAAGTTCTTTTGGGAGCATCTCGACAAGTTCCAGCTCCTCAAAAGGACAGCTGGAGGACTCTACAATTGGTAGTTTTAGAAAGATGAGTGTTCCTGACCAGATTGGTTCTACGTCGTCTGTGTGTAGTAGTCCGCTTGTTAGGACCAAATTTACAGGTGTGGATACATCTGTAGAATACTGTACTCAGCCTGCAGAGGAAATAGAGCAGAACAGAGATTCCAGGAGCTGGGAAGATCGACCATCCACGCCTACTATACTGGGTTATGAGGTGATGGAGGAAAGAGCAAAATTCACTGTAAGTTTTGGGGATAGTATAGTTCATCATCCTGTAGTGACAAGATCACAACTGAATGTGCTTTGTATGCTCTGTCAGTAATTAATCTTGCTATTCAGGGATGTTGGAGTACTCTACAAATAACAATTTAGCTTCAAAGTACTGAAGCTAAAGGTGTAACAGGCAAAAATCATTCCCATTATACAGGTGGGAAAATTTGGGTTCAGAAGTAGTCTTTCATGCAATTGTTACATGGAATAGAAGGAATTCCTTCTACTTCAGGGATCAATTTCTGCTGGAAAAGTCAGGATTTCCTTGCAAAGATACAATTCCTTGTGAAACTGCACTTGTAGAAGTTCTGGATAGTTAGACATCTTAAACAAAATGTAGTCTTCCGTTTGAAATGAATGATGAGACACCCTGATATTTGCCTTTTACACAGTTATTAATAACATAACAAATTTTCATTAAAATGCAAACAGGTAGTTTTCAGCTTCTTGCATTGCTAGGCTTAGTTTCTAGTAGGGGGAAGTCTCTTCTGAAGACAACAGAATGAGATGTCATGTACACAGTATCTCATGGCGGAGCACCAGCTGAAGGGATTTGTATTGATTTTCTCAAAATATGCTGTAGCTGGCAATTCAGCGTTTTTTTAACATGCCATAAATACATTAATGCATTTGTGCATTTGTTTTTGTGGATATGGTTGAAACATTTCTTTGAGATGATTCAGCAGTGCTTCTGAGACTGAGGCAAGTTGTTTGTTACTAATTATTAGGTTACTTAAATAGCTAAAGAGGAGGAAATAGCAGACAAATTTTTTTTGTCTCCTGTTTCCTTTCAGATTAGAGAAATGTGGAATCTAATGCCCTTATGACAGTTCAAATACTAATCAAATCCTCAGGTTCTTTTTGCAAAGAATTAAATAATGCTGCTTTATAATTATGGGAGAATGATGGCTTGTCTTGTCCTAACTTTTTCAGTTTCTGACTCAAATTGTTATATTGACACAGTTCAGTCTGAAAGTATGCAAGGCATATTCCAGTCTGTGTGTAAGATGTCCTTCAGCTGCAGTTGGCATGACAGCTGTGGCTCGTTTTGTGCAGAAAGCCAGGTTACAGTGGAAATTAAACATTCTTCATCGCTAAAATGCTTGGTTCCGTTTTTGCTTTTTCTGACTTCACTTCTGTTGCTGTTTTTGTTTCTGAAAGCACATAATTAACTGTTTGTTTTCAGTTGCATGTTGAAAATGAGCTTGCTGTTGTGCATTAAAACCAGCAAGTAATTAGTCCTAGAAATATTGGTTGCTTCTGCAGTGCAAAATCAATGAGATGGAAGACTGGAAATTAAATTGAAATCACATATGAAAGAGAGGAGACTCGATTGCTGAAGTTTTTGTACTGTTTGTCAGCATCTTGTAGCTCCCAAAAATAGGAATCTGAATTACTTAAGCTGGGTCATGTACTAACTTGGGGAGTTAAATGTTAGTGCACGTTAGAATACATGGCTGCTGAGCCTTATGGGCCAAAAAACCTAGGCTGAAAACCCTTTCTGTTTGTAAGCAATTGGTGTCTCAAATGAGTTAGCATTTGTTCAATTAGCACTTTTTTTTTGTTCTGAATCCAATTAGGAATGATAATGGGATGCTTAATCAGGCAGAGATTGTTATTGTCATATTTTCATTGAGTATTTTGTATTTGTGCAATAAGTCAATTCAGGATTGCCTGGAATTACATGAATTTGTTGAATTCATTTATAGCTTTTTCCAAGATCTTGTGTGAAGGAACTGACAGTTGGTTTTCTAATACCTTTTTTTGTTGTTGTTTATTAATTACAAATCTTAAACAGAAAAAAATAAAAAGAAAGGAAAAAACACATTCTTTTTAACTTTGTAAAAAAAAAAATGTATGTTTCAGGTTGACCTTATTTTTTTGGCCAGTAGTCATGAGCTGATTGTGCTCCTTATTACATTTGTGTTGGCCATAGTTTGTGAAGACTTTTCTTGAGTTGTCTAATATTTACTTGGAGACGACTGAAACTGAGGGTCAGAGTTAACTGGATTTTGCATGCAGGCGTTTGTCAGCATTGCCTTCCCAGGACTGTTTGTAAGAGAATAGGATCCTGATTCACAAGTAAATCCATAAGCATATTCCAAAGAGTCTTGATCTATATTCTGTATACTAGCAAAGAGTCTTCACAATTTTGTATAGCAGTTCTACTTTATGAAACTTTCATAAAATAAAACTTTATACTTTTGGTAAGACAAGAAAGGTAAAACATTTGTATAGACATTTATACAGCAGATGCAGGACAGAAGAACTACATTTTAATGCTGGCTTCACAGACATGTTGTGCAGCTTCAATTTTAAAAGCTAATAGCTTTTTGTTAATGGCTGAAATATAGCCTCTGCCACAGATAATGCCGCGTGAAAATAGAATTCTGCATTTAAAAAGCAATTAAGAGAAGTACTTGCTGAAGAAATGCATTTCATTTATTTAATTTGCACCATAGTTACCTGTAGTGTGTGTAAATGTCTTCAGCTTGATATATTATAGAACACAGACATGCTAAAAACAGCTTGATGTGTGTACAGAAGTTGGCTGGCACTGAGGTTATCGCATGATAGGGCTGCAACAAGAAAAAAACACTTATTAGCCAAGACAACCTGCGGTGAAAACGTGAAGTGTTGGAAAATGTTTTACTGTGCAACAGAATAGAAAATGTTTTAAATATGATTTGGTTAAATACCTATAAAGGATTATTTATCATTATGATTCTTGAAATTTCTTTTTCTTCACTGAATTTTATTTTTTTTAACAAGAGCTCACCTAAACTCGGAAGACTAACCCAGTAAAATCATAGAGCCTCTTCTTCCATGTGTTGGAGAAAGTAAGACTGTGACATGAGAACCTTTCTTTTCTTGACACTGTTTAATATTTTCTATTTGAAGGTGTGTTAGTTGTGTTCAGGCATTTGAGTATCAGTCCTCCTAAAAGGTAGTTATCTGATTATTTTCTTTTTAATATTATTGTCTTACTTTTCTATCCATTTGCATTTAAGTAGGAGAATGGCACTGCTGTGCTGTTGTCTTGCTAAATCTGATTGAAAGGATCCATTACTTCAGTTCTACAGTACTAGCATAATCTTTCTGATGCAGTTACCTAGGGAAGTGGTCATATTTTGCCTGGAGAGACAAAACCTAATGTTCAGGACAAATGGAATGAAAGGGGAATATTATTTTTATCCTGTATCACCTTTCCTTTTGAAGCAAGTCAGATCAGACATTTTAAAACATAAATACAACACTTAGTACCTGATTATTACTCCTCTTAAAAAATCAAGGATTAACAAATAATTCTGCAAAGGTTAAAGTGGATCACTGAAACACACTTCACTTACCTCTTTGAGACTTGTTTTTCCCTTGGGAAGACAGTTGGATGCAGTTTTACAAACCCTTTCTTGCAGACAAAATAGCTAAAAGTAGTTAGGAATTATAGAAACCCCTTCCTTAAATTCTGAAATTAATTTATACTGTTTGTAATGATAATTAAGAATTTGTTTTTAATTCAGTTAAGGATTTTTTTTATTATCTATGACTTATATGTCATTAAGAAATAAAGGGTGATTTCAGCCTTCCAGCCAATGCATCATGCAGTTCTGCACATTTTTCTGATATTCCTGTTTTTCACATTAGGTATACAAAATACTAGTAAAAAGAAGTCCAGAGGAAAGTTGGGTGGTTTTCAGACGGTACACTGACTTCTCCAGGCTTAATGACAAGGTGAGAATTACACACTGGTAAATCCTCAGCTAACTTGCCTCACTGTTCTTTCATGTTCCATTTTCTTTCTTTCACATTTTTGTCACTTTTTTCCTTGCCTATTTTGCTGCATATAAAAGAGATACTATATTAATGAATGAAAAATATGCGATTCTTACTTTTTTCAAAGATATATAACTGCAGCTAGTGTAAAGAGGGCATTTCTTCATCTGATGCTGTAAGTCTGGTTTGTACTTTATATGTATTCCTAGATTATGTGATAAAGGAAATTATAATTGTATCCTCTGCACGGAAATAGAACTAGGGGTCTATAACCTCTTGCAGGAATGATCCGGTAATTATTCAGTCCCTTTCAGTGCAACAAACTGCTTTTTTCATTATAAAACTATAAAGTTACAAAGAACTTATGTTCGTGAATGTAGGTCAGGCTTCAGTGTCTTTGAAGTTAATTGAATAAAACAATAGAAGAAATATCAGATCTTTAAAGCTGAAGATACAGATGCCAGGTAAATAAGAGTTCTGGGTCAGCAACCTAAACATTTTTTGCTTTCAGGTGTTCTAAAAATATCTTAAAAGCACTTTTTAAAAGCATCTTAAAAGTTTTTTAGTTAATAAATAGCATTTGGCTATCCTATTTAGTATTATTTCTATAGAAGTAGAAAAACAGAATTAGATTTTTCTTTGTACTACTGTCCACTACTAAGAATAATCCGTCATTGCAAGTTTAACACATTTTCTGCTATTATGTTCTTTCATATTTGAGCTTCATAACTTTTTAACACTCTTACACACAGGTACTTTTTGTGTACCTTTTCTTCTTGGATCAATGTGTCTAAACAACAAAGAGCTTAATTCTGCTGAAATTTTGAATACGGACTTGAACTTAAATGTTTTTCTGGATTCTTGGCTTGACCTGTTTGGATATCATTTAGTCTGCCTTTAAAACATCAGGGCAGTTTAAAATTACCACACATTGATGAATATGAATTAGTTTACAGATTTCTTTCTGAAGAAATTTCTGTGTAATTTCTCTGATGTTTTTGGGATTTCAACTACAAATTTCAGAAGTCAACTCATACAAGAGCTTTGTATTTTGGTCAGCTATGTCAGGTGGAGGTCAAGAACTGCCTTCCGTGCATTGATTTTTACTGTGGTTATCAGTAGTTTGAAAAATTACAACATCACAGGTGTTCTTTGTAGAACACATTTGGATTTTACAAGCAAAGTCTTTAGTTTGGGCAGTCAAATCTCTGACAAAAATATTTGGCTTCTAACATGATTTCTAGGTATTACAATTTCTGTTTAAAAGGAACTTTATTATTCCATTATGTCACTGACTGAAACTTTTTAGTTTTTCAGTATGTGTCTAAATTTTGATTATATTACTATTCTGTAATTCTCTAGAAGTTTTACAGTCATGGTATATTTCAGTTCCTGGAGCTGGCGTTGCTGTATTACAGCAGCATAAAGTCTTAGGAACTGAAGAGTAAACGGTTATATGCATGCATCAGTGGTTCAAAAGTCAGAGTGCAACACCTGAAACTCCTTGTTCTCTAACCGCAAATACAGACCTGAAGTTTCATGCATGCATGCTTTCAGGATTTTTTTTGTACCTTATCTCCTAGAAATTCAGTAGAAACAAGAGAAATAAACTACCTGACAAATCCTTTTCTTCACCATTCTTCTTGAGCTTGGTGGCGAATTATTCATTCACTGATATTAGAAACTTGGCATTAAACTTGGCCAACTGAGTTGAATAATCAATCACTGATCACTTTGTGAATCAGTTTAAAGCATTAAGAGAGGGAATGGCTTTTCAGGAAGCCCAAGTGAAGAGGAAAAAGCAGCATGCTTTGTACATGTCAGGCATATACTTAATAACATGTCCAAACTGAACTGAGAGTTGGACTTCAGTAGAAACAGTGTCACAATGTGTGTGAGGTGGGGGTGTAGAGAAAATTAGGACCAGATTAACGGACTCAGCTCAGCTGTCTAAAAGCAGCTAGTGAACTTAGTAATAGCATTCTTTGTTTGCCCTGATCTCTCAGAGAAAATAAAGAAGGTGAAATAGATGGCCATAGGATCCTAGAAAGTGTTTTGTACTTCCACTGGTTTCTGAAATACTTTTTGTAAGGAACAACTAATAAAATGGAAATGAATGGCAGTAAAAGAGCTCAAAACCATGAACTCTACTTTATGAATGAAACCAGCAAGTGCAGCAGCAGGCTGAGACTTGAACACATTTCAGGTCTGAGGAACAAGTTCTTTGAATGTCAAAGCTATCTGTTTTCCAGGCAATTAAAAGCTTAGGAAAGCTCCATATCTACTGAAAGAAGAAAAATTGAAGATGATGGCAAAGTAATCCAGTGTAAAGGAAAGATGAGATATTGCCACTGTGGGTACACAAGAAGCCTCATAAAGATCATAATTTAAAAAATTACAGATAGAGATCAGCACAAGGAGAGTAGTACAAGCTTCTGAAGACTAAGGCAGAAGTTCTGGGATGCTAAAAGCAATGGGTAAAGTTCTGCAAATCATTAGAGACAGAAATAAGGGAAGGAGGCAGTAATACCAGATCTTTTGCTTGAGAGCAAACTATGGGAAGCAAATAGCAAATGATAGACCAGACTGAAGTACTGTCTTTTGCTGTAACATTAACAGAAAATTTAATCTTACTGGATGTTGGAACATGACAGAATTTGAGCAGCTAGGAGCAAAGGCTAAAATACATTTGGCTAGATGTGTAGGTTTTGTTTAAGATCACCTAGTGGATTGGAGAAGAATGTGGTGAATACTCTTCGGTCCAAGAAAAGGGGTGGGTAAAGAACTTTGTATAGTCATTACTGAGTGACATGTTGAACAAATAATGAAGTGGCCAGTCTGAAGAATGAAGGGGTTCACCATTTCTTTCTGAGACTGTGCCTCATGTAACCTGTATGAGCTATCACATGATGACGTAGAGGAGAGACATCCAGAAGAGATGCTTGATCCAAGGAAGCAGTCACAGCCAGCCTAACTTTTCTGACCCACATTGTTTTCCACTGTGTCTGAGGAATGTTCAAGAAAGAATGCCCCAGGACTGTGCTGTTGAAAATGAATCTGCTGATAGCATCTAGCTTTTTCATACTCTATTCATCCACGAAAGGAGTAACCTGTGGGTAGGGTTACTATTCCCTTAGAAATAAATTGTGATTTATATAACCAGACAAGTGAAATTGCTGTTAAGCAGAAGGCTGTGTGGTTGAGAAGCTTTGCCAGCAATGGTTATCTGTGGTCAGCTCTACAACTAGCACAGGAAGTAGTTTTGTTATCTTTTCTGGGTTTCAATCTATTCAGTATTAATTTAAGAGAGGCTATGGAGCATAGAGGATACTTACGTATGTGGTATTAATGATAGCTTGATAAGAAATGAAGGAACTTTGGATGACCTAAAATAAACATAAAAATATCAAGAATAGTCTAATATAAAGGTGAAATTCAGTGAGAGTAAAACATAAATACAGAAGAGGAAGGCTTTGACAATAAACCATTCTATCAATAAGGAACTAATAGTTATTATGGGCTATTTGACTATACAATGCTTGTGCTGTTAAAAAGCACCCTTCTTGTGCAGTGAGATGGTACTTACATGAACAAAAGTGATCCACTAATATAGTTCTTCCTTTAAACTGTGTAGAGATTATATCTGAAATAGTGTCTGGTTTAATTTCTTAGAAATCTTAATCTGCTGAAAGACCCGTTAGCATTTTCCATGAGTCCATAAAGAGGCATTAAAAAAAAATATAGCTTATTTTCAGAAGGCTTAAATTTTGCTGTACGAGAATCAAGACCCAGTGAGGCCATACCTTACAGCCATGTAAACACTGAGTGCTAAACTTTTTTCAAGGCACATTCTGAAATCCCCGTCACTGAAACGTCCATACAAATATATTGGGTGTGTGACGTACATTCCTGGCAGAATTTGGCTTGGTCCTGTCTTCAGGAAAAGATTACACAATTCTTGTGGCAGTTGGAGGAACATTAGATTTTGTAAAACCTGTTTGCTTTTTCCTCTTGGTTGTAAATCCTCTTCAATATTTTTCTGTCAAGCACCCCTACAAAGAGAAGGCATCTAAAAATTGGGCTCTTATGATATCGTAGATGGTTTTTTATCTTCATGCATATTAGAAAAATAATTAATAGGTACCCTTGGACAGGTCCATCATTTTATAATTCTGCAATTCTATTCACTTGCGTATTTCATTTCTGAATTTGAAGAAAAAAATTGAGGTATTTCTAGCATTGAGTGTACCCAATTACTACTTAAGCAAACCAGAAGTACAGTTTTGAGTTTTGCATGTTAGTGCCAGGGTTTGAGCCCCATCCATACATACTGAAATTTTAATATTCTGGGTATACAAGGAGCTACTCTTTACTAGAATTACCTCATGCATATGTTGTAATTCATTCTGCTGGCCCCCCCAAAAAGATGACTTGTAGGTGTGTGATGGGCTTTTACTTTTTTTTTTTAAAAAATTTGTATAGTACTTATTATCCTTGAGTACTTTAGGGGGAGGAAAGAAAAAAAAAAAAACACACCAGGGAAATGCTTACTCATCTAATACTTTAACTTACGTACAATTTCCTTATATTTACTGACTCAAAGGCATTAAATAGCATTCTCAGAGAGCTTAAATAGCAAAGTTTTTTGTTCCTCTTTTCCTATGTTAGATTTGAGAGGTCATTTGATTGTGTAACCAACACAGCAAGTGACAGAACTGTGTCAGAAATTTACGCTATCATTTGGATTGTACTTATGGTTGAGACTTACCTTGTGCTTCAATTAAACAGAAGGCAGAAAGATCCTGTAATTTGAAGTCAGTCAGCGCCTGTGTCAAATTCAGCATTTCATCAAGATTTTGTTTTTCCTTAATTTTCTTCGACTTTGATTTCTGTTGCAGCTGAAAGATATGTTTCCAGGCTTTCGGTTGGCCCTTCCACCAAAGCGGTGGTTCAAGGATAATTATAATCCTGACTTCTTGGAAGACCGACAGCTAGGGCTACAAGCTTTCCTCCAGAACCTCGTAGCTCACAAAGATATTGCTAACTGGTATGTGTTTAATTTTACTTGTAGATTTGGGGTTTTTGTGCGTGTATCCAAACTACTCACACAGGCTCTTAGACTCTAGCAGTATATCTTTGGGCAACATAGTAAGGAATTTCAGTAATATTCATGTTATGCCTTTACTAATTATTTGAATTTAGTGTCCTATTGAATAAATCTCATCTTAAAGTAAGCAAAAAAGGAATTGCGGTATTTTCAATTGTACATGGTTAACTACTGACTAAAAGCTGTGATATTTAATGTTAGACTAATCCTATGTTTATTCCTAAAACATTACTTCAGTGTGCAACAAAGTGCAAAAGTCTCTTTAAAAAATATCTCTTTTCATAAGGTAGAACATAATTCTGGCAAATGAAATGTAAAATCACTTCAATAAAGGCCAAATGATAATTTTAGTAAGGAAGTTGCAAGAAGCAGAACTGTTAATTCTAAAAACCTTTTCCAACACCAGAAATAGAGCTGTGAGGTTGCTGTACCAAAGATTCATAGAATCATAGGGGCTGGAAGGGACCTCGAAAGATCATCCAGTCCAACCCCCCTGCCAGAGCAGGGTCACCTAGAGTACATCACACAGGAAGGCGTCCAGGCGGGTTTTGAATGTCTCCAGTGAAGGAGACTCCACAACCTCTCTGGGCAGCCTGTTCCAGTGCTCCGTCACCCTCACAGTAAAAAATTTTTTCCTGATATTCACCTTGAACCTCCTATGCTCCAATTTGCACCCATTACCCCTTGTCCTATCACAGGTCAACACTGAAAAAAGCTTAATTCCATCTTCCTGACACTCACCCCTTACACATTTGTAAACATTGATTTGTAAACAAAGATTCTTTGAGAAATGATTCTGAGGAACTGCCTTCATCTGAAATTTCACTGAAAATGAAAGTACAGAAATTCACTAGAGCAAACCTCATGCCCTCAAGAATTTTAAAAGAACTAAAATGTAAAACTTCTGAGCTGTGGTGTGAGACCATATAATACTCGTATCTACTTTGCTATTTAGTAGAATGGCTGTTACTACATTGGGCACATTTTTATAAGGCATTTGACTGTTGAGTCTGGAAATTAGAGATGAGTAAGTAGGCCTGACTTTTTGTTACTCCTTGTAATAAAACTAAAGTGGTAAGCAGGTAAATAAAAATAATACTTGGAAAAGCAATAATGTCTTTTGCAGAGGGAAATGTATCTAACAGGTAGTTAAATGAGGGAGCCTGGGGAGAGGGACTGATAGAAAATAATGAATATTACATATGGAACACTGGATCACAATTATGGGCACTGATGTACATAAAGCCTGGAAATTATTTGGAAGAGGTAATCATCAATGAGATCATGAAGGATTGTAGAAGAAACTCAAGGCACTGGGTGACTAATTTTCATGTCATGAAGTGCAAAATGACTGGAAGTACATACATACTGAATCATAAACTCAGTTGAGTTTTGCAACCTGGAAAGTAACTATTGGTGTTGATACGGTTTTCTAAATCGGGTCAGTATTCAGCAATAGTTAAAAAGTTGCATAAAATTGTTGAAGAGGAACTTGGAAGGAAAAAAAGAAAGTTACCACTGTGGGAATCTGAACTGTACTTCCACATACTCTGGTGCTAAAACAGAGTATTCTGGTTCAAAAGAGAATCTGCTAGAAGTATGGGGAGAGCAAGCAAGGACAGAGGTGGCTACAAGCTTCCCTGCAAGAGGAGTTCTGTTCTCTTTAGTCTGTTGTCTTGGGAAAGGGCTAGCTAAACAGGGCATATGAAATCATCAAGGGGATAGGGAAGGTGAGTAAAGAATATTTTGAATGATTCATAGTCATCTCTCAGTATGTCACACCGAGTTGCAGAGCTTTGTTGTGAGACATAAAGCTGAAAAGAAATTGGGATCAACCTGTGAGTTCCTCTGTAAGTGGCTATTAAAGATTATTATGTGGGTGAAATATGTGGCTGAGAAGTTTAAAAAATTCCTGATTATTGAACTCAACAGTAATAGGTGTGCCAAAAAAGGGCATTATTCTCTAAAAGTCACTTAAGTTATGCTGCTGGAGACGGTCTGATGAGCTGGATGGACTTTGTAGTCTGCTTGAATAGATCTGAGGGCTTTATGCCTCGTGTTGTTGCCATTAGTTTGACGTTTCAGCTAGTCTGTTTGTATATTGACAGTGGTCCATACTGGACAAAACAGTGATTGTTGTCATTCAAGGCAAAAAAAAAACCAAAACATAATTTTTAGTATATTGCTTATCAGATACGAAAGGGAATTTAAATGTTTGTGGAATCAGTTTGTATTTTGATTAATGTACAGATAGTTAACCAAAATGTGATTTAGAGGAAAACTAATCTTGACTCTGTAAGGCTCTGCATGAAAATTAAGTTTACTAAAAACTTTATAACCTATTCATATGGTTTACATTCTGATGTTTGGATATGTGCACGGTCTGGATTCCTCAGGAAGTAATTAGAAATAGGGAGATTTGGTCTGTCTGATTTTTTTTTAATTTTTTTTCTTACCGACTTATCAGAGGATAAAAGTTACTATTAATGGAAATTATTTTTTGCACCTTACATGAGCAGTGGTAAGCATCTAACCCTGCTTCGTCCTAAAAACCTCATCATTTACTTCTGCAGCTTTTTCAAGGAGGTCAAATGGGTTGGGTCGCACCAAAACCAAATGAGCCTTTTGTCTTTTAGAAAAATCCTTTTCCTTTCCCTTTATCCACTATATTGTCATTGAGACGTATCGACAGTGGGAAACTCACCCTTCAGGGATAGGAGACTTCAAATGGTATAACTATTTTTCAATAGATCTAGGCTTGCAAAGTTTTTTAAAGATAGGATGATATGCAGGTGACTAAATTTAGAGTGTGTTTTAGGGATTTCTTATGTTTTGCCTTGTATTGAAGGTTCAGTGAAAGATAAAATGGAAATCCACCCACAGAGTTTATTATGTTAAAGAAAATTTCATATGATCCATGAAGTGGGAGAAAGAAGTTTAACCTGCTATGCAGAAGCGTCATCTGGCTTTACACAGATGACACACACAGCTCTCCTGTGCCTCCACCCTCTGTAAGAAGCAGCTTGGAAGGGAGGAACTCGGCTGTCGAGGCTTGAGGGATCCCGTGTGCTGCAGTGCTCCTTGCTGCCCTGCCTGGTGCTGGTGTAAACGGGCATTGCGGCCTCATTTTGCCTGCAAAACCTGAAGCTGTTGGATAAGATACTTCAAAATTTACTTTCTTGTGTTTGTTCTTTGCATCTGCCTCAAATGCAGAGAATACAGAAAAAAACAGAAGGCAGAAAATTACTTCCTTTTGCCCTTTCCTTCCCACAGGACTTAGGTGGGAGGGACAGCATTTAGTTTGGATTCACATCTTCCGTTTTTGTGTGTTCATTCCAGCAGGAAATGATTTATCATAGTGAATGGAAGCATAGAATTGCTAATACATTTCTACTTGCTAATTAATTGTGAATACAGTATTCTAATTGGGCATTATTTATAAAAGAGTGAATGCAACTGAGCAAGAAAGTCTTAGAAAGGTGGCTGAAGGGACGTGGTTGGAGATGTTGAAGAGTTCTGTGAAAAGCAGTCTAAACTTGGAAGAGAGAGTATATTGATCATCTGGCTCATTCTGTGGTCAACCACAGGATCACCCACGCTTCCTTCTGGCCTTTGCAAAGCAGTGCATGGAGGAGGATGATAACTGTTACACAGTGTTAAACCGAATGCATTAGTTTGAGATGTATGTTTAGAGATGCCTATGTAGATCTCCATGGCATGTTAAACTTGTAGCTTCTCTTATAACTTACTCTTTTAGATATATATAAAAATATATACTATATATATTCTATACCGTGTACATGTCAGTGGATTATTACCTTGGCAAAATGGAGACACGTTAACATGTTTCAGTACCCATGCTTAGTTCCACCAGCATTTCCTGAGAGGATCTGCTTATGGATTTTAGCATCATATTTATTCATCCACCTTGTAATACTTATTTTTCACCTGGAGAATTTTTCAGAACTCTTCAATACCAAAATTATAAACTTGTTGGTTGTCTTGTAGCAACAAATTTTGTAAAGATTTGAAGAATAATGTTCTAGATTGACTTACTCTGTTTGGCAACTCTTAACTCTACTTGAGCAGCTTTTTAAGTCACATTTCAAGTACTGTCCCAGATTAACATACACAACTAAGCCTTAACAGTTTCTTAACATGATTTTGAATACTTGGGAGTAAATTTTAAAGATAGATGTTTCTGTCCCTTAAAGAAAAGCTGCCCTTGTATGGTCATATTTAAATGTTGTAGCTTTTTTGTACTTCAAGTAATTTGCTCTCTTCTATTTGATAAAGTCTTGCAGTGAGAGAATTTCTGTGTCTGGATGATCCTCCAGGTCCTTTTGACAGTCTAGAAGAGAGCAGGGTAAGTGCTATGTAACATGATAAATGCCAAATGCAAAAGGCAGTAGTTGGTAGAATTCACTAAAATCTGCTGAGTGGTATGGAATGAAACACTGTTAGTTCTGTTCTTCCAGAAATATTTACAAATGGATGTATTACAAAGTTGGCCCAGTCTGATTATTGGTGCACACTGATATCTTTGATGGCTGTATTTCGTTCCTGTCCCAAGATAAAGTCTTTTCCTTTTTGCCTTTTATGACCAGTGGATTAAATTTGTATTTAAAGCAACTACTTAGAAAAGGCAACTACGAAACGTAAGGCGTTTTTGTAGTTTACATTCAATATCTTGTCACAATATGTACACCTTAAGCTTCAGGTCTTGCAGTAAAATGTTTCTTGCTGTGAAATGAAAGGATTCATTCTGATGACCAAAAATAGTGTTCTTGCACATAACTAAGTACTATCAAGTCGTGTTGTAACACAGCAGCCTTTCAACATGCATATGAGCACATGGAGCAAATAATACTGCATGCTGCAGCTTATTTTATTAGAAGTAGGTTTCACTGGCATCCATAGAATCATAGAATGTTTTAGGCTGGAAGGAACCTCTAGAGGTCATCTGGTCCAACCTCCCCACACAAGTAGGGACATTTCTACCTAGGTCAGGTTGCTCAGAGCCCCATCAAGCCTGAGCTCTGTCTTTTTCCAGAGCTGTATCAAGTCTGTTTAAAACAGGCTTAGTTTGCTTACATTTTAGAATAACAGTATGTTTTTGAATTCCACACATTGTTAATACTGTAGAAATTAGGAATGTTAAGTGTTCCTTCAGCGAAGTTTTTTGGTTTTTCTTTTGTGTGAGAGCACTGGCTTTTGTAGCATTGCTGTGTTATGTCTGAATGATTTGCTGTGGGTTTTGTGTTACAAGCTCATATTTGATTCCTGTACAGTCACTTTTCATCATAGCTATTTAAGTTGATGAAAAGTAATACAACCTTCAGGAACTGTTTACTAGATAATTAAGAAATTTACGTGCATTTTTCATTGCTATTTTGATCATGTGTACTGTGGTGATGTCTCAGGGATGTCCTTCTGCCATAGGAATTTAGGCAAACTATTAATATAGCTGTGATGATGTAGTTTTGACTATTAACCATTTCTGTAAAGTTATTAGATACAACTGCTACAAAATTCTGGTCTCCAAGGGATACCCCACCTTATTACGGAATGGCTGAGGTTGGAAGTGACTCTTCCAAGATCTCTAGGTGATCTCTTGAGATCACCTAGTCCAAACCTTCTGCTGAACAAAAGCAAGCTACTTGCCCAGGCAC